TATGCTGAGTGAAATATCTCAGTCACAAAAGGATAAATACTGCATAGTGCCACTGTTGTAGAACAGGACTGACATCAGGGTTGGGGTGAGAAAAATTGGATAAATTATGTATACTGCATTGAAACACATGAGGGAGAGAACTGTTTGAAAGGGATAGATGATTGGGTATTATGGTTATGACAAGAGTCCAGAATGAAGGCTGCATAGTGGAGTGCACTTGGGGCAGGGAAGTGGGGGATTCTATACCAATGAAATAATTTTTCTTTTACTTTTCAAAGAGAAGTGTGAACTGCAGGGAGGGGTGGGCAGGGAGAAAAATGCAACAATGAATGTATGGAAATCCAAAATCTTTGTAAACGTTCATTAAAATTAATTTTTAAAAATTTTTTTTAATATTGTCTTTTGTGTGTGTACACACCGTCAAATCAGATCTGACTGGTACAGGAGAAGACTGCCCCTCCTTCTCCAGCAAAGCATCTGGTGGACTTGAACCACGTACCTCTGGGATTGAAGTGCAACTTCTTGCCAACTAGACCACCAGAGCTCCCTTTAAAATTAATTTTTAAAAAAATAAAATTTCAAAAAAAAGAACTCCTTGTCATTGAGTCAGGACTGAATCATAGCTGAATTTCCACCGGGTGTCTGAGGCTGTAAATATCATGGGAGGGTCTCTCACAGAGCTGCTGCTGGATTTGAACCGCCAGACAAGTTCCGCCCTTGTGTTAGTGGTGCCACCAGTTGTCCTTAGGTGCTACTGAGTCGACTATGACCTGTCGTGACCCTATAACAGCTGATTTGGACCCTGCTGCAACCTGAACCATTCTCACCATCTCTGCTCTGCTAGAACCCATTGATTGCTACATTCACTATGTCGATCCATCTTGTTGAGACTCTTCCTCTCTTTCTCTGACCCTCCACCTGTCCATGATGTCTTTTTCCAGAAGTGGTCCCTCCTGACAACATGCCCAAAGTGTGTGAGCTCAAGTTCCACCATCCTTGCCTCGAAGGACGCCATGATGCCATGGTTGCATTTCCTTCAAGACAGAGTGAAGAAGAGAGGATGCCTCTTAATGATAGTGTTGAAGAAGAGTATTGAGTATCCCATGGCCTGCCAAAGGAAATCCACTGGAGCTCCCTCTACTGATAATAGTCATTGTCTTGCTATCAATATGTTATCAAACACTCTTCTAGGTGGTCTAGCACTGGTCTGTGCATTGCTGCACAGAAGTAACTTGTGGTTGCTGTGATGCTAAACACTGTGACACTGATGTGTCAAATGTGATGATGGTTACCCATGGTGGACAGTGTTTGGTGGAGCTTCCCGATTAAAACAAGCTTGGAAGCAGGAGTGGCATCCCCTTCTGAAATGGCTTGCCTCCGGAAAGTCTATGAACAGTTCTCAGGCCTTTCATTCATAGGGTTGCTATGAGTCGTCTACAACTCGACAGCACCCACCAACAACAATAACAACAGCAACATCAATATTTTTAAAAGTATTCACTATGTGTCAGGTATTGGTAATTAACAATGAATCAAGATCTCTCTCTCACACACACAGAGTCTCTGTGGGCCATATTTAGAGGGCAAAACAAGCTAATTAAAAAAACAAGCCAATAAATGCGTAGTTATAGTGTTAATAAGAAAACCAACAATAGATGTAGTAGGTGACATGTTGGAAGATTCCATTTTAAAAAGGGAGTTGACGAGGCCTTCATGGAAAGGATGAGTTTGATCAAAGATGTAAACAAAGAACTGAGCTCGGTGAGTATTTAGGGGGAGAGCAGGCTGAGAGGAGGAGAAGTTAGGGCAAAGAAGTGATTTGCTTGGCACGTCCCGGGCAAAGCAAAGAGGTAAAGAAGCAGGTAAATCAGCAAGAGGAGACCAGTCCTCCAAGGCTGGATGCTATGATAAGACGTGCACCAGAGGATTCTGGGAAGAAAAGTATCATAATATGAGGCTGAACCTGGATGTAAGTGTTTTGTAGACACCCTAGAGGGCCAAGAATCAGAAGACTTAGTGGTTCAGACCACGCCTGCAGGAGTGGAGATCCTCAGAAGGGTTCAGAGCATCCACACATTCTGAACATGGAGCAGACACCACTGGCTGAAGGACCGCAGTGGGAGTTTGGTGAAGTGCCCGTATCTATGCAGTGAACAAAGAGTCCAGGTGGCACAATATTTAACGGGTCAGGCTGCTAACTGAAAGGCCAGCAGTTCAAATCCACCAACTCTGTGACAAAGAGATGGTTACAAATACCCAGGTATTGATAGTTTGGGGTGTTACAGAAATGGAGGCTTTGCTGCAGGTTATTAACCATAGTTCAAGGTTATACTACGAAGACTTTCGTGGCTCACTGCTCCCCAGTGACAGGTTGGCAACTCAACAACTTCCTGGAGATGAAAAGAAATAGGTCGTTTGAATAGCGGAATTATCTTATATTTGGGAGCTAAGTAGTAGAGGAACTTTGTATTAATAAGAGGTATAAGACAATGAGGATAGGAGGAGAATTGATGCCTTTGAGCTGTGGTGCTGGAGAAGAGTGTTGGGTGTACCATGGACTGCCAAGAAAACAAACAGATTCATCCTAGAGAGGATTAAACCAGGCTGCTCCTTGGAGGCAAGGATTCTGAGGCTTCGTCTAACATTCTCTGGACATGTTGTAAGGAGGGACTGGTCCTTGGAGAGGGACATCTTGCTTGGTAGGGTGGAGGGACAGCGCAGGAGGGGAAGGCCTTGAGGTGGATTGATTCAGTGACTGGGGTAATCAGGGTGGGTGTGTCGGAGACAGTGCATTTGGCACAGGACAGAGCAGGTTTTGGGGCTGCTGTACATAGGGTCTCTATGTGTCACAAGCAACTCGATGGCACACAACAACAACAACAGCAACATAGGTGCTCCAGAGGAAGAAGGCTGGGAGTGGGGCTGACCCTGCAGTACCGACTGACTGCAAAAATGAATCCAACTTGTCAATGAGCATGAGGACGGCGCAGAACCAGGCTACGCTTTTTTCTGTTGGGTACGAGGGCGCCACGTATTGGAGTCGACTAGATGGCAGCAAACAACAGCCATGGCCTTTGCCTCCCTTCTCTACCTGTCTCAGCATCCTGCTTTCTTCTCTCTTCTCCTGTGTATCTGTGTATGTACAGATCTGCCTACAAAGCACAGCTCATCCTTTATCTCTAAATTGAGGAAGAACACAGCTACTTCCACTGCTTTTTCATCACCGTATAAAGCAATGTGTCAACGCAGGCATTTCAAACATGTTTTAAAGTCACTGCTTTTGAAGAATTTGTACAAAAAAAAAAGACATATTGTTCACTTCCTCCAAGTTAAGCTTCTCTGTTAATAGTTATACTGGTTTCACATAAAAAAATGTAAAGGCAAATCCTGGATTCTCACTAAATAAAGGTCAGGAATATTCGCAATGATAACTTCTCAAAATAAAAATGTTCTTCTATAAAAAACAAGCATAGTTCCCACAGACATATTGGCTTTTTCTCTGGATTAAAACAAGCTTGGAAGCAGAAGTGGCATCCACTTCTGAAATGGCTTGTCTCCGGAAAGTCTACGAACAGTGCTCAGGCCTTTTGTTCACAGGGTCACTATGGGTCGTCTACGACTCGACGGCACCTAACTACAACATAGGAATAGCCAGAGGCTAGGGCTCTCTGGTGGCTTAGTGGTAAGGAACTGTGCTGCCAACTCAGAAGCACAGGGTTGAAAGGTATGCAGTTTGAGTCTACCAGCAGCTCCAAGAGAGAAAAATGGGCAGCTTCCTCCTGTGTGATTTACTCCCTCTGAAAACCCGCTGGAGGGTCAGCTATTGGTCAGCTCCGACTCAATAGTACACAACAACAGTGGGAGAAAGGATCCAGCCCTGGTGGTGCTAGGGCTGCTAACTGAAAGGACAACAGTTCAAACCCATGAGACGCTCCATGTATGGGTGACACGTGCAACATGTTCTTTGTAAAGGTTTCCAGCCTCGGAAGCGTGTGGTGGGGGAAGACTGCTCTCTCTGTCCCTTAAGTCATGACGAGACAGGATCAACTTGAAGACAACACCTTCAAGGAGGACAAGGACTAGTTTATACATTTTCACAAAATCAAAACAGCATACGGCTTTCATGAACAAAAACCACAAAAAATTGTTGTCATGTGATGGTCTAAACTTTGAGTTCAAATGGTAAGATTATCTCAAATTAATCCTAGCATTCTATTTGTGAATGATTTGTTTAAGCTAATTACTGTTTGTACTGACAAAAATCTCAAAATGACTAAGAAAACCACCTCTGACATAAATTTAGTCATCCAACATGAATAAATGGACAAGAATAAAATATTGGAAAGAACTTCCTTTTCCTCCTTCAATCACCCCTGCCCAGCGTGTGCTTCCTTCTCTCCTTTCATTCCATAAATAGTGAATGATCTCTGTACAGTGAGCGCTGTGCCAGGCGTAAAGGTTAATAAGATCCAGTCCTAGACTGCAGGGTCTTCAACGTCAGATGTAGGGTCTAGTGCAGAAACACCAAGTGTATAACATAACATCTATACGAAGTTCCAGGGAGCGCTGGCAGCCTCGTGGATAAGGAGCTACCCCGTCAAGCCCAGAAACCCACCAGCTGCTACTTAGAGCCTCTAAAAACTCCCTGGAGGGTCAGCTATGCATCAGTTCTGACTTTATAGCACATGATGACGACAACAACAACATGCTAAATTCTACACTAAAGGTTAGTACAACAACCACAACAGCCACCAATGGGAGCGAGGCAAGGGAATGTCACTCGTGCACTCCTTTAAACATTAACAAATAAGTAGGACTGTATGGATGCTTTGCTCTTTGAAAAAGTTCCATTTGTGCCCTTATTGAATAATTTCCAGACATATTTCCAGCTGCAGTTAACTCAAGTCGCCTGCTAGTCAAGAAAGTCTTCCTGAAGCTGAAATTCTCAAGAAGGGCTAGGGCCCAGGATTTCAGGTAGACAAACAGCGGCAGAGTCTTACCTTATGATAACACCGGAAGTACGCAGCTCTCTCATCGGAAAACTTCTCCAGCCTTTTTGGGCCTTTGCTTGAAGCCTTCTTGAATACTAACCAGCATCGTTGATAAATCTGGAAGGAAACACAAAGACTTAGCATGAGATCTCCACCGACACAAATATTCCTGACATTTGCACTGAAATGGTTCTTGCTGATGCTTCACCTGGAAAATATTCATAAACCATAAACATGATTTTGTTCTCAAAAAGTGGGCTCGATACATTGCTGGTCAGAATGTAAAATGGCAAACAGTGGTTCTTTCCAAAATGGTCACATGGAGCACAGTTGGGGAGTTTCTTTTAAAATAAAAAGAACAATAAGAAATGAGAATGTTATAGTCACTGGGGCTCTGCTGGCTTGATGGCAAGGAGTTGCCCTGCCAATCACTGTACCATCAATCCAAAGGCACACAGTTAAAATCCACCAGTTTCTCCATGAGAGAAAGACGGAAAACCTCCTCTCATACATATAACTGCCTCTGAAAACCTGTTGGAAGGTCAACTGTGAACTGGTTCCAACTTGATGGTACACAGCAACAACAACAACATATCATCAGAAAAGGAATCCTAGGTAGTGAAACAGCTAAGTGCTCACCAAAAAGCCAGGAGTTCACACAAGGCCTTTTATGTTGCTGTTGTTAAGTGCCACCGAGTCGTGGGTGACTCATAGCAACCCTGTGAACAAAAGTCCTCAACACTTGTATGACTTTCATCCTTTCTCCAGGTTCATAGGGTTTCCGGAGGCAAGCTATTTATGGAAGTGGATGCCACTCCAGTAGTTCTACTTTGTCACATCTCAGAGCTATGAGTTAAAAATAGACTCAATAACACCCAACAACAACATATAATCAGCAACTGAACTCTTACGAATTTAACCCAGAGAAATAACACCTGTACATGACTGCTCATAGCTGTTTTATTCACAACTGCCCCAAACAGGCATTAACTCCTATGTCTACCAATGGATACATGGTTCAACAAATTACAGTAAGTCCAAACCATGAAATAAGACTTCGCAATAAAGAGGAAAGGAGCCATGGTGCTGTAGTAGTTAAAGCATTTGGGTGTTAAGCAAAAGACTGGTGATTGAAACTCATTCCATTTGGGGAAATGAGGCGGTTTGTTTCTTTAAAGATCACAGCCTTGGGAGACCCTGTGGGGCAGTTAGACCCTGTCCTCCCAGGTCATTAGGCCTTAGAGCCAATGGCCATGACAGTAGGTTTGGGTTTTGTTTTTTGCATAAAGAACAGTGAATTCTTGAAACAAGCAACAACTTGGTTGAATCTCCAGAGAATTCCACCGGACAGTAAAAGCTAATCCTTCAAAAGGTGCCTACAGTATGAGTCCGTTCATAAATTATTCTTGTAATTACAAGAAAAACAAAGAGAAATGGAAAATGTGTTAGTGGGTGATGGGGATTAGGGACTGATGTGTGACCAGGAAAATGTACCATTAGAGTTCCTCATGGTGGGACTGTCATCTATGCTGAAAGCGTCATGTCTATTTTCTAACTACTGTTGTTGTTTTGTACCACCAATTGGGAAGCCACTCATGGCTGATCTTCCAGTGGTTTTCAGAGGCAGTTTATCAATCATATAGGAAAAGAGCACCCATCCTTCTCCCACAGAGCAGCAAGTGGATTCGAACTGTGTGCCTTTGGGATAGCAGCACAGCTTCTTACCATTACGCCACCAGAATGCTCGACTTTCTAATTGGGAGACTATATTACAGTTTGGGAAGATGTTAACTAAATCAGTTGTTATCAAGTCAGCTAGGATTCACAGCGACCTTGTGTATGTCAGAGTAAAATTCGATTCCACAGAGTTGTACATGCTTCATTTATTTTATTTTTTTTTTTTCGAGAGTGAATGAAACAGATTGCCAGCCCTTTCTTCTGAGGCACCTCTGTATGGACTAGAACTCCTGACTTTATATCTAGCTGTCAAATGTGTACCATCCCAACACTTAAACGTTACCACCTAGGAGAACTGGGTCAGAGATACAAAGGACCTTTCTGTAATGTTTTTTACAGTCAAGTGTGGGTCTACAATGATTTCAAAATAAAAAGAAAGCTTTAAGATACAAAGCTATTTAATGAAGGTTTTTCCAAATCAATACAATCTCCCAAATGCCCTCCCCATGCTGTTTGAGTCCTGTTTCTCTTTCCTGCCATCAGGCCTAATTAACCACCAGACCAAGTACCTTTACGAAAGGTCTTTTCAAACATGGGAGCCATTGGTAGGAATTCAAGCACAAAATCCTTTTCAAAGCGGAGATTCAACCATGAAAATGAACATTTTCAGCACCGTGGCTGTCAAGTCCAAGTTCTACCAATACCTTGCTTATGTCGGAATGAGAGATGGCACAATTAGCTCACTTACAATTGTTCCGCAGCCAGAGAGATGTAATTACGGTGGAGACGGCTGGCACTGAGTTCAAAGAGAAGATGCTGGGAAATGGGTTTCTCCCTAACTTTCCATTTTCAGCCACCACTTACTTTTGTAGATGTCCTTAAGAGCCTGTTTGAAAACGGAAGGTGCCAGAGAGATACATTAAAAATACATCATCACCATGGGGTGGAGGGGGGTGGGGGGCATTCTTTTCAATGAGGAAGGCATTTTAAATTTCCTAATTACATTTCAACTTTTAGATCTAACTGTCAGTGGGGAATTTCTTGTCTTTTTTTTTTTTTTTAAATTGTTGCATTTTCTTTACAGTTGACTAAGTATCTGCTTGGCTCACAGCCAGTGGCTCCAGATTTCTCAATATATCTAATTATTTCCATCCCTGAGCTGTCTGTAGACAGTTTGTGGGATTTCTGTACATGATCTGCTTTCCTCTCGGATTTATTAAATGGCAGAGGTGAGCATGCACTACCACGTGCAAATCGCTTCCAAAGGATCATCGTGTAAGCATGTGGACAGCAGTGCTCGTCACGCTGCCTGGAAAGTTATCGTGGAACAGAAGAGAATAGACTGGTTCGTTCTGGGCACAAGGACAGCCCCATTTGGTTTCTGAAAGGTAGTGGAGGATTTTCAAATGTAATGTGTAAGTGTAAGGTACAAACATAGACCCTTTAAGAGTCGAGCAGGATGCGTGCAATGAAGACCCTTCCTCTGCCTGTTACACATAAGGCACCAGGCATTTCGCATGTGGTGCAGCATCGTCTGAGGTAACTGTTGAATATGCAGATTTCCAGGATAATCCAGGGTCTGCTGACTCACAAGCTCTTTGGCGAGGGCCAGGAAAATCTGTGCTTTAACAGAGTCCCTGGGTATTTTGTCTGTCTTTTGCAAAGCGATGCCCTAAATATTCATAAAGCACTTTCAGAAGAAACAACGCTTCTGAGTTGAGATTGCCAACAAAATCTCCAGCAAGTGGTCCAGGACAAGGGCCTCTGAGATGAAACAGTGTCCAACAAGCGACACATGACAGCCTTTAAATCAGTATGGCACAAAACGGTAACATGGGTGTCATAAAAACTCCGGAGTTTCACCACTAATCCAAACAGGTTCCATCCACCTATAGCTCCAGGAGATACACTCTCCTCCCAAGTGATAAGTAGCTGTGAAAACCTAGTGGAAGGTCAGCTCTGAGTCTGTTCCAGTTTGACAGCAATGAATAAGGTTTTTGAGCAAAGCTATGTACATCTACTGAGCCAGGGCAAATCCCAGTATCAACTACTGATAGCTCCTCCGTCCTCGGAAGACTAGAAGGGCTGCTGAATAACCAAATGATTCAGAAGCTCCCTTGCATATCTCAGAGTTGTTTAGAAGACAATGAAACAAGATCATTGAACATGGTAAATGTTGAGACTCAATGGATAAACCCTGCCACTTGGTCAAAGTATGATAATTTGGGAATATTCCCAGACACGGGATAATTTAGGGAGGTTTATTCTTAAAATCAATTCATTCAACCATACAATACTGCTTAGTTAATATTTACATTTAAGTGGACATTTTGTTAAACTGAGAATGGTTTTTGTTGAAAAGGTATCTTAGTTTCCTATTGCTGTTGTCACAAATATACTACAAGTGAGTGTTTTTAAAGAATGGAGATTTCTTAGAAATCTGGAGGTTGACAGTCCAAAGCTGTGTAGTGACCGGTGTAGATAACTTCCTAGGTGTTCTTTGGATTCTTGGTTTGTGGGTAACCCTCACTTGTTCTTATCCCACCCCCTCAATGCGTTTATTCTGTCTTTTTTGTAACTCTAAAGTGAAAGGGTTTAGGGTATATTCTACATTGATATGGACTTTGCTAACATAGCAATGAAAAGACTGTATCCAAACAAGATTATGTTAATAAGTATGTTGCTGGTGTTGTCTGTCATGGATTCAATCCCGACTTGTAAGAACCCTACATGCCAGAATAAAACTACTTATAGGGATTCCCAGACTTTAATCTTAACAAAAGTAGATTCTCAAATCCTTTCTCCTGAGAAGCAGCTGATGGGTTTGAACTTCTAACCTTCTGAACAGCAGCCCAGTGCTTACACATATGCCACCAGGGACCATTAACCATAGTTAAAGGAGTGAGAATCCCAAGAAATATTTTAGGAGGACACAATTCACTCCATAACATAGGGAAACTTTTCTTCTTGTAGAGTTAAAAAATGGGCGTGCTGGTGGTGTCTTTCACAGAGAGCGGAGGTTCGAATCCACTAGCGGCTCTGAAGGAGAAAGGTGAGGACCTCCTCCAGTGCAATTTACCGTCTCCCCGAAACACACTGGAGGATCATCCACGAGTCAGCCCGGACTGAGCATCGACGAGTTTGCATTTGTTTTTTATGTGGTAGAAAAGCACTGAGCAGGGTGCCAACTGAAGCCAGGCCAACGATACCTCTCCAATCTTCTGAAGGAAGGATGTTGTAATTATGAGAATTCAGAACTTGATGATGGACGGATACAAAGCAATTCTTTAAATCATCATCTGTAGGCGGCTTCCAACTCCACTGACCAAAATAACGAGCTAGTCGAGCATCATGTACATTGTTGTTGATGTTGTTGTTCTGTGCAGTTAAGTCGCTTGCGACTCATATCGACCCTATGTACAACATCCCTAAACCCTGCT